ATGAGTAACAGTCTAGTATGTTCCCCTCTTGTCTACACATAAACAACACTCGATATACATTTGTTTATAACATTAGCCTGGGTATAACTTATTCCAGCAGCACCAGCGGCCGCTACTGCTGGAATAAGGTGGAGGAGACCCACTCAGTCCCCCACACGGTCAAGGAGTCAGGCGCTGGTAAGTAGTCAAGGATGCCAGTATTTGTATCAGTCGACTAACGTGGTTTTTAATAGAATTTTTTTGTACTTGTGTATAAACGTTCGAATTTTGCTCGTAACGTGAAGTTTAACGCGAGTAATAGTTAATATTATTGGTCACAGTGGTGAAGGGCGGTACAAGGAGTCCAAGCAGGCTGCAAGTTGTACAAGTAACAAGTCGTACAGGCCGCACGTCGTATAGGCTGCAAGTCGTACATACCGCAGGTCGTACAGGCCGTGCAGGCCACAGGTCGTACAAGTAGCAAGTCGTACAGGCCGCAAGTCGTACAGGCCGCACGTCATACAGGTCGCAAGTCGTACAGGCCGCAAGTCGTACAGGCCACATGTACAGGCCACAGGTCGTACAGGCCGCAGGTCGTACATACCACAGGTCGTACAGGCCGCAAGTCGTACAGGCCACATGTCGTACAGGCCACATGTCGTACAGGCCACATGTCGTACAGGCCACAGGTCGTACAGGCCGCAAGTCGTACAGGCCGCAAGTCGTACAGGCCACAGGTCGTACAGGCCACATGTCGTACAGGCCACATGTCGTACAGGCCACAGGTCGTACAGGCTGCAAGTCGTACAAACCTGCTCTATGGTATTCATGCCATACTGCCATCACAATTTATTCTTAACAATTCTTTAACCATAACTTGCTTCAATAATGTAATATAATCCTCTTACATGAAGCTAGCGGCCCCCGTTACTATAAGCATTACCAGCACAATATTCATGAAAACATTATTACTGACAACGAGAAACAACGACACAATGAAATCAAGAAATATTCCAAGTAAAGCACCGAGTTGTAATTTAAATTACCAAACATCGAGGACATCAGTAAGGGCTCACATCTTTTATCAAACCCTAAAGTATACTTTATATTTACGTTACGACAAAACAAATCCCAAACTAACAAATTATATTGCCATTACTACACAAAATTCCACTATGAAGGAAAGTATATTTTCATACAAGCCACGAGGGAAAAAACACCAGGGAAAATATACTCTACAATCTCAATTAGTATTAAGTTTTAGTCTTCAGTGTTTCCCCTGCCCGAAACGCTTTGGGTAATAGTGGCTTTAGGTACTAGCTTTATGTACTAGCTTTATCTATAAATTCATCAATTTTTGTATCACCCCTTGTATGTATGTATTTTACCTAAATAAACCTTTGAATTTTTGAATTTTGAATTTTGAATCTGCAACACCATTAAAAGACACAGAATTCTCATGAAAAAATACTTATAGAAATAAATGATATGAAAAGAACGCGAGTAAACAAGGGGTGGAAATAGCCTAAACTACTCTATCCCTTTGAGATGTATTTCTTTCTCGTCTCAATAAACATACTTGAACTTCATTATTCTACTATGGAACAAGCAGTTAGACAACAAACGCAAACTTCACCCAAAATGGCAAACGTTCGCCAGCAATTACGTAGTTATCTAATTTAACGATTTCTTCTAAATTCGGAGCGAGACGACTTGTTACATCTTATAAGTAGTCACAGGTATTCTCCGGAGGTGTTGACATATGTATATAATTCTGGGGGACAGGAAGCCTGTATTATGTGTTCCTGTGGTCCTCCTGGGACAGTTACGATGTCACAATAACGCAAGAGTTGACACCCAGTTATCTTGCGGTTATCTTCAGATGATTTCGGAGCTTAGCGTCCCCGCGGCCCGGTCCTCGACCAGGCCTCCTCTTTGTTACACACACCCAGGAAGCAGCCGTCTAACTCCCAGGTACCTATTTACTGCTAGGTGAACAGGCCCATCAGGGTTAAAGAAACTCTGCCCATTTGTTTCCGCCTCCACCGGGGATCGAACCCGGAGCCTGATGACTACGAACGCGAAGCGCTGTCCACTCAGCTGTCAGGCCCCCAGCCCACACACCTGACACTGGAGAACCGACGACGTTTCGGTCCGTCGTGGACCATTATTGTCAAGTTGAAAATTGTCCCGGGCGGACCGAAACGGTCCTCCCTGGTGAGTGACTCAAGACCAACAAACTAGACCAAACTAGGTATACTAGAGTAGCCTCGCCTACTTAAAATATTATAGAACTACTTGACTTGTGGGACTAAAGTCAACACTAAATAACAGCAAAGGCTATACCTTAAATGATTAAAGTTTCTTTAAATCAAAATCAATAAATAACCAACTCTTCACAAGCGACTAGGATTCTGCCCCCAAACCGTGCCGGCCACCCGTCACGTGACACCAGGTCACTCTCCGATGGGTCACTCATGCCTGCAAGCAGCCACTCTTCTCATTCCTCCGACAGTGTCGTCGGCGCTTCAAAATTCTTGGCGCCAATTCTCTAGGCAGAGGCTGTCGGCGCCCGCCATGTTGCATCAAAGCCTAGGCTACTCACACCCTCTTCCCCCCCATAAACTTAGAAGCTAAATATATTAAAAAATTTGGCTTCCTGCCTCCCTCTCATTCTTAACAACCTTGAGGCCGTCTTAAACATGTACAGATGGGAGTATGACTTTTGAAGCCTCACGTTGGAGTAATATTTCCACCTTATATTTGTCCCTCATATTTTTATAGCAACCGAAACACATTATCCAGGCATTAAGAAGCAAATTAACTAGAAACTACATCACTTACGTATCACAGTAGCTGCGAGAGGCTGAGAGTCGTCTGATGTCAGCTGACGATCAACTCTTGGTGTTAGAGATCACAAGGCGATCACAGCCTATCCTAACCACCGTTCTAATGTCACTATTATTCCTTGTATAGATCAAATGCACTTTAGTTCCTTATAAGGAAGTCACAAGCAGCCAGGAAAACTAACACAGGAAAGTCACAAATGAATTGTTTACACCGGTACCTGGACACAGGTGTTGTTGTTGTTGTTGGTGTGAAGGGCAGCGGCTCGCCTCAGCAGCTGTGGTGTTCAGAAAGCAGCAGTAAATCCACGTTATGAGACAGCTGCATCCTGCCATGTTTATTTATCTAAATTCTTATCATATTATTCTTTCAGTTATGGTACATTTAAAATAATAAATAAAACGAAGAAATAAGTAAACACTAGCTAATATTACCAAAAGAAGGCGTCAAAGTTTATATTATATAATTCGTATTTAATGATAAGAGATGTGACAACACTGCTTTTGTTTACATCGAGCGTGACTTGACACAACTGCTGCCAAGTTGTTTGAAATGTAAGCACTTAAGCTTCTGATAATTTAATTAAAATGTATTATTGGAATACAAATTTATAGCCGTTTATAAATATTGTAAATATAGTAGTACTTCCCGCAACATAAGCGAAATAAGTAATAAAAATATTGTAAAATGTCATGAAAGATGGAAATTTGTAAAGGATTAAAAGACAGGTCAAGTATTCATGAGTTTATTGGTTCAATATTGTTGATATATGGTTACAATAAGCTACTACATTGGGCAACAAATGTAGCTGGCTCATTCATCGTCACTCAGCAGGCAGCCTCATGCCAGTATATGGCTCGTCCTGCTCACTGGCTCACCCAAGATCAACCTCACCTTCATCAGTTAATCAGACAGTTAATTTTACTAAAGGTTTTGTTAATAAAGCGAGATTATGAGATAATGTTTAACTGTGTTTAGGTTTTCACTGCCCAGCAATCGTATGATATTACTACATCATTTTTATTCCAAATAAAGTGTAAAACCTACTAAAATGCACTGCAGACCTGAGCATCTCTGGATAGCTTATACTTATTGATAAAAATATAAAAATATGCTAATAGAAAGCTAGAAGATTATAAAGCTCTATAACTACGGGGCTCGACACCATCAACACACTTGAAGATGTGTTATAAGTTATTTTTACGTTAAGTTTAAAAATATCGAAGTGTTTTTAGAGATTACTACAAATCACATCACATGATGTGAACAAACTTGATGTAACTGAAAAAGTGGAATCACATGAGGATAGTTCTTGGATCGCAGATCACCTGGAGCCATATCTGTTGCATGTTTGGAACAGTCAGAGGAGTGAGCTCAGGAACCAGGTCGCAAGGGCTCTTGTGTCGACAAGCTGCGCCTGGAAGGTTAAGTCAGGCTGCCCTCAAAGTCAGGTCACAAGGAATCTGGCTCTATATCAATCAACACCTGGGGAGCAATGTCTGGCGGGCCTCGGGAGCCTGGTCAGGAAAGCTCTGGACGAAGTCAGTTGGGTTTAGCACCGGTTTGATAATGAGAATAATACCCGTTTTATATAAGCACTGCATCAGCTGTACTTTGGACACGAACAAGGAGGTAAACACAGACATTTAGTTAACACGTGACAGCCTCATTAGTTACCGTAAGGCTCAAAGCTTATTTACTGGACTATACAACAAAGTTCGTTAATTACAAATTACTGATATTTATTATGCAATTAATTTTCCCTAAAGAAATTAAGTAGAAATATATGAATTGGACTACACAGAATAACCAGTAATATTTAGCAGATATTTGAACGATGCGCCACAGCCAAACTTATTACTTATTATTTTTTGGCACATGAGCTTCCCAGGGCCAGCTGTGGCGCCATCACTGACCGCAGGAACAGGCGGCCGCGGAGGACTGAGACACTAATTCATGGAATTCTAAATCATACACTAGGCTCAGAAAACTAGCTACAATTAGACGGCTCTTGGCAAACATATGACTAGCAACATTGCTTCAATATATATGTATGAATATATATACAAGACTTTATTAACTTCAGTAATACAAAAATATTTCGTCGAGGTGATATGTGCTTGTTTCATCTTTAGAAAGTATGGTAACAATAATGCCTTGGTAACTCTACTTGTTTGAAAAAATATATATTTTTCTTTATGTACAGCCTTATTCGCTTTAATGAACAAAATTATAGAGAATCATATTTGCAATATTTGGTGGGCAATCGAGGACTAGTGATTTCCTGGAGAAGGAGAATGGAAAATGAAGGAGAGGGAGAATGGAAAGTGTTGTGAAGAATATAATGAAGCGAAAGTAATTTAGAAAAACAAATTTTGCTCGAGCAAGGAAGAAGTGTCCTCTACTGACGGGGACATTGCCGGAGACGACGATCGTCTAATTCGTGTGCTTTTACCCGCTGGCGTCGTGTCATCACTTTTAATGTTAAATTTCTCCAAGGCTCTAGCCACAGCACCGTCGCAGACGCTGCCCCAGGGTCTGACACGACCGTTACCACTAGGATCTACATGGACAGAATTCGACCTAGACCTCCCTTTGTGCCTTGAGGTTCCTGGAGATCCAGAAAGAATGCTTACGGATCTAGAGCGACCTTTCCAGTCTGGCTGTAGCTCCGTGTCTGTGCTGGGGCTGTGGGAACCCTCGCTACCTTCGCTAATCATACTACCAATGTCGCTTCCAGTTGATATGGACCTTACGTATGAAGGTACAGATTTTCTGTTACAGAACCCATCTCCCTCTTCTTCTATAATAGTTAACTCTCCAGAGCCACCAAGCCCTCTCTCTGAGGCAATTTGCAAGCTGTTATTTTTAGATTCTTCACCATCTTCCTTTTCTAATGCATTAAGAAGACGACTGTCTTGATGTGGTTCACTTCGTTCTATCAATGATGAATGTTGTAACTCAGATACTTCTTGTGTAAGTTGTTCATTCCTTGCGTCTGTTATTAACCCACTTGACTCGTTACATTCAGTGCTTTGGATTTGGCCATAGATGATTATACTTGGCTCATCTAGCGAAACATAAGCCTCGTCAATGTCTCCCCGAATTTCTTGTTTAACTAAATTATCATTAACGTCCCCACTTTGCACTAATGGCATCATGTTTTCTGAGAAGACCTTAATTTCTGGAAGGTCTAAAGTTGTGGGTCTTTTAGGCCTTGCTGGTGTTCGCGGACTGTCTAAACTTCCATCAACACTCTCAAGAGAGGACGCCTGGGAGACGTCACTGCCCCCACTTGAGTGCTTTTTGCTCTTGCGTCTTGCGGTTGGTGTTGTGCTTTGTGATCTCTCTTGTGACACACCCGTGTTGTTGCTGTTGTTCTTAGCAAGTCTTAATCTCTCGCTCACGGGACTTCTGTCTAAGTCTACTGAACTACGTCTTCTGCCACTAACGCTACTTCTTCTTTCTTCTCTCTCCTGTTTCTCTAGTCGTTCTTGCTGTCGCTCATGTCGTTCAGCCAAACGCTGCTCCACGTGTGATACTGATCTTCGACGACCACTAGGAGATGAAGCATCTTCAGTGTGTTTCTCTTGTGTTTTGTTATTTGTGCGTGACGCAACTTCGGGGTCACAGACTAAGCTCCCTTTTTGTTTTTCTTTCTCTTCCCTCTCTCTTTCTTTCCTCTCCTTACGCCGTCTTTGTGCTTCTCGTTTCATGCGCTCTGCTCGGTTAACTTTGGGGATTTTTTGCGTGAGCTTCGCTTCAGGTTGCCTGTGAGAATGACGAGGACAGCGCTTGTCACAAATGTCGGCCCGACCACCTCGACCCCCGCCTCGAAGACGCGCTTCGTTTGCCATGTCGCATCGTCCACTCTTCGGAGAGTTCTCTGATGTAATAACACTGTTCATGTTAGTGTTGTGTCTAGTAACAAGGTCATTATAATCATCATCATCCTTGGAAAACCTTGATTCGAAATACCCAAGTTTGTGAGAATAATCAATCCCATCCAACTGATCGATTGCAGCTAAACTTTTGTACATTCTGCATGAGACATCAGCTTCCTTGTCACTAGGAGTAAGCATAGCAATGAATATATTACTGCAACTTTGGTATCTAGAATTTCCTTGACTGAGTTGTGAAAGAGCAGAGAGAACTTCAACTGATTGTGAAAATGACCGAAGACCCATAAGCCTCTCGCGGGATTTGGAAAGACCAAGTTTTGCATCGAAAAGTCTCTCTCTGGATTTTGATATTGTTTTCTTAAGATTTGACATCTGGATCCTCTCTGATAAAACTTCTCGAGATTTAGACATGCTCCTGATACGATCCAGGTTATGTCTTGAGGACGTCCGGGATTCCTGGCGCTGTATAGATGATGGGAAAGCTGGAGACATGAGCGTGACTGGCGAGGTGAGGGTAGAGTTGGGTTCTGGGAAAGGCGGTGGTGGCTGTAGTGGAGTGTTTGGGTGCAAGGGTGGACGACCAATGTCTCTAGTGGGTGAGGTGATCTCTGCTGGCGTCATGCTGAAGGTGGGAGTGGTGGGAGCAGCGGGGACAGATGTCTGCGTCGACAGAGGGGTGGCGGGCGGGTTATGGGTCGCTGGTGTGATTGGTCTTTCCATCTCCTTCTTCATCCAAGCGTGGCTGAGGCATTCCTGCGCACTCATGCGTCGCCTGTTGGAGAAAGACTATGAATATACTTTTTTTGTCAGTGAATAATATTGATTTAATTAGGTTTTATGGATTGTGTTTTGTATGAGGAGTTTGAGTTTATTATGATATAAATTATGCAGCTCTTCTTCTCTCACTGTTACGTCACAAAGCATGTACTAAATTGCTGTAACCTAACTGATGGAGCCACACATAGAAAACGTGGTTGTTTATGAGCCGCTATGATTTATAGTACATAATTTTTGGCCCATTGGGGATTTTGACATCAAAATGCAAATATTTACGAGTACAGGTTGAATTGTCAACACTTACCTGACAATATGTGGCTCCCAGCTCACTATATTATGTAGTGTAAATTTATGGTAAGTTTATGCAATAAAAATTATTTAACTAAAATAAACTGACAAAGAAGAAGTAAGTAAGTGTGTGCCTCACCCAGCACACACCATCCGTGGCAGCCTTATTAGTGAGGGTGTTGACGTAAGAGCCCAAACACACACATGGCTATTACACCCAAGTTTATCTGGTAACTCCAACAGAATTGAAAGTTTTCAATTCTGTTTTCATTTGAAAGCTTCCATTGTTGTTTCACCGATATTTCTTATATTTGTTGCATGAGGGTGAAGAGCCGTGGAGCTCTGAAGTTGACATGTGTTCTCTAACTGTGCTTATGGCAACCTGATTTGTCATTGGATATATTCGTCGCTAGCAACCATATCTCATCCCAGCATGCTGCAATTTTAATGTGCAGGTTCAAACATGACCTTCCAGTATCTTCGAAGTGAAAATTATGAGAATTCTCTCTTAGCTCCTTTTAAGAAGCACAGTTTGAATATTTTTAGTCGGTTCAAGTAGTCAAGTGCTTCAGTTTGCATGCAGTAAAGTATCTGTGTGCGGTTCCCGGCTCATGCAATCTCGACTGACGTAAACGAGGATTTGAGGACCAATATTTCATACATGATAGCACCACAGCTTCGAAGATTACCATCACTGGTGTGGCATCCCTTGTTCTTAGTGTTCTCATGCATGTTCTCTCCAAACATTAGGTCTGTTGACATCATTCCAAAACCTTTAACTTGATCGTTCCTTTCTGTGAGACGTGTCGGTGTCTTACACTCTCTCCATTCACATTTTATCGACGTTGCTTTTTCCGTGCTGAAATAATAGTAATTTGTCACCGCCTGAACGTCATTTTATTTTCCATTGCCCATTGAAGGACTTAACTAATACAGTATCTGATTGTTTACTTTCTGCATCTTTCCCTGAGGCAAATGTCTTATTTATTTTAGTGTTGTCACTGTAGAACGACAAGAAATAGTGACTTGTAATCCTGTGTGTGTCTTGTATGAGGATGAGGACGAATACTTGTACAAGGGCCACACCTTGCACCACACTCACGCTTCATGGTCCCCCGTGGACCTCACGCTTCATGGTCCCCGTGGACCTCACGCTTCATGGTCCTCGTGGACCTCACGCTTCATGGTCCTCGTGGACCTCACGCTTCATGGTCCCCCGTGGACCTCACGCTTCATGGTCCCCCGTGGACCTCACGTTTCATGGTCCTCGTGGACCTCACGCTTCATGGTCCCCCGTGGACCTCACGCTTCATGGTCCTCGTGGACCTCACGCTTCACGATCCCCCGTGGACCTCACGCTTCATGGTCCTCGTGGACCTCACGCTTCATGGTCCTCGTGGACCTCACGCTTCATGGTCCCCCGTGGACCTCACGCTTCATGGTCCTCGTGGACCTCACGCTTCATGGTCCTCGTGGACCTCACGCTTCATGGTCCCCCGTGGACCTCACGCTTCATGGTCCCCGTGGACCTCACGCTTCATGGTCCTCGTGGACCTCACGCTTCATGGTACTCGTGGACCTCACGCTTCATGGTCCCCGTGGACCTTACACTTCATGGTCCCCGTGGACCTCACACTTCATGGTCCCCGTGGACCTCACACTTCATGGTCCCCGTGGACCTCACACTTCATGGTCCCCGTGGACCTCACACTTCATGGTCCTCGTGGATCTCACACTTCATGGTCCCCGTGGACCTCACACTTCATGGTCCTCGTGGACCTCACACTTCATGGTCCCCGTGGACCTCACACTTCATGGTCCCCGTGGACCTCACACTTCATGGTCCCCCGTGGACCTCACACTTCATGGTCCCCGTGGACCTCACACTTCATGGTCCCCGTGGACCTCACACTTCATGGTCCTCGTGGACCTCACACTTCATGTTCCCCGTGGACCTCACGCTTCATGGTCCCCCGTGGACCTCACACTTCATGGTCCCCGTGGACCTCACGCTTCATAGTCCCCGTGGACCTCACACTTCATGGTCCCCGTGGACCTCACGCTTCATGGTCCCCGTGGACCTCACACTTCATGGTCCTCGTGGACCTCACGCTTCATGGTCCCCCGTGGACCTCACGCTTCATGGTCCTCGTGGACCTCACGCTTCATGGTCCTCGTGGACCTCACGCTTCATGGTCCCCCGTGGACCTCACGCTTCATGGTCCCCGTGGACCTCACGCTTCATGGTCCCCGTGGACCTCACACTTCATGGTCCCCGTGGACCTCTCACTTCATGGTCCCCGTGGACCTCACACTTCATGGTCCCCGTGGACCTCACACTTCATGGTCCCCGTGGACCTCACGCTTCATGGTCCCCGTGGACCTCACACTTCATGGTCCCCGTGGACCTCACGCTTCATGGTCCCCGTGGACCTCACACTTCATGGTCCCCGTGGACCTCACACTTCATGGTCCCCCGTGGACCTCACGCTTCATGGTCCCCGTGGACCTCACACTTCATGGTCCTCGTGGACCTCACACTTCATGGTCCCCCGTGGACCTCACACTTCATGGTCCCCCGTGGACCTCACACTTCATGGTCCTCGTGGACCTCACACTTCATGGTCCCCCGTGGACCTCACACTTCATGGTCCCCCGTGGACCTCACACTTCATGGTCCTCGTGGACCTCACACTTCATGGTCCCCCGTGGACCTCACACTTCATGGTCCTCGTGGACCTCACACTTCATGGTCCCCGTGGACCTCACACTTCATGGTCCTCGTGGACCTCACACTTCATGGTCCCCCGTGGACCTCACACTTCATGGTCCCCCGTGGACCTCACACTTCATGGTCCCCCGTGGACCTCACACTTCATGGTCCTCGTGGACCTCACACTTCATGGTCCCCCGTGGACCTCACACTTCATGGTCCCCGTGGACCTCACACTTCATGGTCCCCGTGGACCTCACGCTTCATGGTCCCCGTGGACCTCACACTTCATGGTCCCCGTGGACCTCACGCTTCATGGTCCCCGTGGACCTCACACTTCATGGTCCCCCGTGGACCTCACACTTCATGGTCCCCGTGGACCTCACACTTCATGGTCCCCGTGGACCTCACGCTTCATGGTCCCCGTGGACCTCACGCTTCATGGTCCCCGTGGACCTCACACTTCATGGTCCCCGTGGACCTCACACTTCATGGTCCCCGTGGACCTCACACTTCATGGTCCCCCGTGGACCTCACACTTCATGGTCCCCGTGGACCTCACACTTCATGGTCCCCGTGGACCTCACACTTCATGGTCCTCGTGGACCTCACACTTCATGGTCCCCCGTGGACCTCACACTTCATGGTCCTCGTGGACCTCACACTTCATGGTCCCCCGTGGACCTCACACTTCATGGTCCCCCGTGGACCTCACACTTCATGGTCCCCGTGGACCTCACACTTCATGGTCCCCCGTGGACCTCACACTTCATGGTCCCCGTGGACCTCACACTTCATGGTCCCCGTGGACCTCACACTTCATGGTCCCCCGTGGACCTCACACTTCATGGTCCTCGTGGACCTCACACTTCATGGTCCTCGTGGACCTCACACTTCATGGTCCCCCGTGGACCTCACACTTCATGGTCCTCGTGGACCTCACACTTCATGGTCCTCGTGGACCTCACACTTCATGGTCCCCGTGGACCTCACACTTCATGGTCCCCCGTGGACCTCACACTTCATGGTCCCCCGTGGACCTCACACTTCATGGTCCCCGTGGACCTCACACTTCATGGTCCCCCGTGGACCTCACACTTCATGGTCCCCCGTGGACCTCACACTTCATGGTCCCCCGTGGACCTCACACTTCATGGTCCCCGTGGACCTCACACTTCATGGTCCCCCGTGGACCTCACACTTCATGGTCCCCGTGGACCTCACACTTCATGGTCCCCGTGGACCTCACACTTCATGGTCCCCCGTGGACCTCACACTTCATGGTCCCCGTGGACCTCACACTTCATGGTCCCCGTGGACCTCACGTTTCATGGTCCCCGTGGACCTCACACTTCATGGTCCCCCGTGGACCTCACACTTCATGGTCCCCGTGGACCTCACACTTCATGGTCCTCGTGGACCTCACGCTTCATGGTCCCCGTGGACCTCACACTTCATGGTCCTCGTGGACCTCACGCTTCATGGTCCCCGTGGACCTCACACTTCATGGTCCTCGTGGACCTCACACTTCATGGTCCCCGTGGACCTCACGCTTCATGGTCCCCGTGGACCTCACGCTTCATGGTCCCCGTGGACCTCACACTTCATGGTCCTCGTGGACCTCACACTTCATGGTCCCCGTGGACCTCACGCTTCATGGTCCCCGTGGACCTCACACTTCATGGTCCTCGTGGACCTCACACTTCATGGTCCCCGTGGACCTCACGTTTCATGGTCCTCGTGGACCTCACGCTTCATGGTCCCCGTGGACCTCACGTTTCATGGTCCCCGTGGACCTCACGCTTCATGGTCCCCGTGGACCTCACGCTTCATGGTCCCCGTGGACCTCACGCTTCATGGTCCCCGTGGACCTCACACTTCATGGTCCTCGTGGACCTCACGCTTCATGGTCCCCGTGGACCTCACACTTCATGGTCCTCGTGGACCTCACACTTCATGGTCCCCGTGGACCTCACGTTTCATGGTCCTCGTGG